GAAACCACCCAAAACTTTGGCCAGCAGAACCTCCCAAATGCACCATTAATTGTTCTGGCCTCAGTATGATTAGCAGGGACCAAATTCCAGCCAGAGCATGCTAACCCCTCAAAACCAGAGCACCCCTTTGTGCCGGTGGGCTTCCGCAAAAGCCAAAGCTGACCTCTCCTTGCTCTCTCCTCCCGCTGCAGTACTACCTCTCTGATGCCGATTTCCATGATATCTTTGGGAAGTCCAAGGACGAGTTCTACCAGATGCCCAAATGGAAGCAGCAGAATGAGAAGAAGCAATGTGGACTCTTCTGAGACCGCAGGCACCAGTCAGCATCCAGTGACTCTGGGACCAACCCTCGCTCTCTTAGGAGCTGTAGGGAAGAAATACAGACATTTGCTGAATGAACCCAACCCAACATCTCAATCAGGCCAAGCTCCAATGCCATTACTCCAGCAGCCACTGTTCAGGAGATGGCTCCTTTCTCCCCACAAACCCTGAACCTAAGGAGGCAGGAACATTCCTTCTGCAGGAACGACTTTGAAGGATGTTTTTGCCTCTTTTTTGACACTTTATCGCTGATAGCCATGAAGACAAGTGTGTGTCACACAACTGTATTGTAGCCTGTTCTTTCCTCTCCCTTTTGCAAGTTGTCATATGCACAAGGTCATGATCTTCCTTCATTTGCAGAAGTTTAAAATTAGGTGAAACATTCAAGATCAGGTTGGCTGGGGCTCTGAGCAACCTGATCCAGTTGAAGATGTTCCTGCTTATTGCAGGGGGTTTGGACTATCTGGGCTTTAAAGGTCCCTTCCAACCCACACTATCCTATGATTCTATGACTCTGTGCTTCCAAGACAAAGGCCACTTCCAGCTGCTACATAAATTCTGGGTGGGGAAAGAAGGCAGAAGCCCTAGGAGGACAGAGGGGGAGCCTTGAGGTCATGAAAAAGGTAATGGAGTAGCCAGATGTGTGATGGGGTAGCCCAAAGAGTGACACCGGCCCGTTCTGCCTCTTCTCACCTTGCAGAAAAACTTCTCACCCAAGAACAGCAAGAATCAGTTGTAGACTAACATGCATAGACCAGTGCAAGTAAAACAAATAAGAACCTGGCTTGGAAAAAAACTACTTATTTAGAACGTATTTATTAGCCGATCTATTTCAAGAGGATGATGAGATTTATAGCTAGACATAGCTGTTGATTTTGACTGCCAGGCAAGACTCTGACTATTTTTTTCTCACTCAGAGAGTGTCTCCAATCTCACCGGGCACGGCTGGGTGCAGGTGATCATAAGAGTCCACCAGACCAGAGACCTGAGGAAGCCGAGAGCGGTTTGGGTACGACCTGAGGCAGAGCATGTCCCACTGAAGGGTTTGTCAGGGCTCCATCCCTGTGATGTCCACCAGGCTAAGAGCGCCCGTTCCACACAGCGAGCTTAGTCTGACTGGGGAGGGCAGGGGGAAATGTCAGCCATCAGTGATTAAGGGATACAACTCTAAAAGAAAGGAAGAAACACAGATGTTTGAAAATTCAGATGTGGTTTTGCAGCTTTACTACATTTTCAACCTGATCAGTGATTCCAAATAAACAGCCAGCAGCAGCACTGTAAGTGTCCTTCATCAGCGTGTGGGGTAGAAAAGCAGTAGAGGAAAGCTCTGCAGGGCTACACATCCTTCAAACACCTGGTCTTGAATGGGAATTGGGGTTTTTTGAATAGAAAAGAATAAACTGAGGAGTTGAGGCCTGCCTTGTTCTCAAATACCACATAGCCAGGACTGTATTTCTTCCCATGCCCAGGTACCCTGCTCCTGAAGCTCCCCCTTTGCCCATTATGGGTACTTCAGCAGTTGGCCTGACTGTCCACCCCTGTGCCAGCAATGCAGGGATGGAGCTGAAGAGCTGCAGGCGGCTGATGGTTGAGGCGTGAAGAGCTCTCACGCAACACCCAGGACCAGGCAGTGGTGGTGAGGTGTCACCATCTGGCTGGGCCAGAGGCAGGGACCTCCAGGCGATGGGATCTTATGGACAGATCTTTGTGTTTAAGAATTGGTAGTTACTTCAAATAAGCCACAACCCCATCACTACCTCCATGCTCCTGCCACCACTCTGTCCCATTTCTGCTTGAGGGTCCAGCCCACAACCCATTGAAACCCCCCGTGCAGGATAAGGTGAAAGTCCAGCAGAGACACAAACCAGC